ATTTCAACAAGGGCGGCTCGTGGTTTGTAGAACTGGTCAGCCGTCATTCACATTGACCCCCTCTCCCCATTCCCTACCCCCCACGCACACGCTCTCCGCTGTTACAAACCTACAACTTCGCTACCCCTCACTACACACATACACACACACACACACGCGCACACACACACACACGCCCAAAGCATATTGAACCCTAAAACACAATTACGATAGTATGAAGAAATAATTGATACCGTACCAATGACTAGACGCTATCCCGTGTACCGGTATATCAAGTCTTGAATCAAATACAACTGTGTACTTTTCATGTACACGCACTGAACATAGCAACACTTCCCAGAAGGCTGCTTAAGGCTGAGGGGAACTGTATTATTAAATGCTAATTTTTTAACCCAGTTTCTTGTCGGGGTGAGAGAAAAGGGGAGGGGAGGGGAGTGTAACACTCAGTAAAATTTCGTATATATAACATGAATCATTGAAAGCACCGGTTTGCCAGAAGGTTTCCGTTGGAAGTAAGTGACAAATAGAACATTAAACAGAACCAAGGGTGACCAAAAACGTATAGGCAAAAAAAATGTACTGACAGTAACTAGAGACAGTTTTGCTGATAACGTTACTAAAGAAATACGGTGTATTATACAGTTCAAGACAGTCTAATCCTTCAACAAAGTAAGCATGAGAAGCCAAATTGGCAGCTATAGTGCCGTCAGAAACTCGTGGTGCAACTTATCCTCAAATATCTCTTTAACGGGTGAATCAATGTCAACCATACTTTGCATAGTAGTTTGTATCAATTTGTTTTAACTAAATTATATTTTTCTAGAACAATTGGGGTTAGATTTTTTTTTTTATTTCTTCATAAATTTATATAAAATATTTGAAATCTCTGTCACACGTAAAATGGTATTGTTCACAGCACTTCCCGCTTCTCACACACATTTTGTTTACGCATATGACCGACGTTACAGCTCATCAATGACTATTTTTACTTGCAAAACCTGTTACAAGAAATGATTGTTATAGTGAACACATGTTTGCACTAATGGCTCTCAAAACATGCGTTCAATAAGCATAATGTCTCGAGTAGAAAAACCTGACGGACTTGCTATTAAAAGCAATATTGCCCCAGCTGTAAACATTTGAAAATCTGGAGAAACAATGCACTTGGATTTTTATTAGTATATTTTATTAAGGAATACAGCTTGCACATGTTTACAAAAGAGTTCATCAGTTAAGACAAGTTGATACAAGTCACTGTTCAAAGATTGGAGAACTTATGTTTGATAGTTGATGAGATATTTGAAAATAAGTCGCACTACGAGTTTTTGACCACACTATAGAGGCTCCCTCTAAACCTTACGTGGCTAGTTTGTGGAATCGCCGTCGAGGCCTTGTAAGGCCGGTCCCAGAGTGGCACAGTACGTCTGACCTGTAGCTCACCGTCTGCGTGTCAGCACAGCCGTACTGTGGCGTCTGGTCTGTGGGATCTGGCAAATGACGGGTCTGCCGTGCTATGTACTGTGTTCCACGTGCCGTGTTTTGCGATGCAACAGCGTTGAAGGAACAACATCCACGATTTCCATGACCTTATTTTGACAAATATTGCCTAACTAAAGGACCTTTTATTATATAAGGACGTGACAACCTGGTGTAAGAAATTAATATATTTTTATCTTTAATTTTCTTTTGACAAAAACTAAGACCTTAATTTTAAAGGACTTTTCTAAAGACCTGTGGGAACCCTGTGATAGAGTTGTATACGCATTCTCTGCTTCAATCCTGTTTCCTCACTCGTTGGTCCGTTTTCCAATCTCCTCGTATGGTACGATATTCTTTCATCCTTACTTAGCCCTTTCTTCGAGATCTGTTTACGGACACTGCACATCAGATATTTAGATAGATCTAATCTAGATCTAGATAGATTTTGAGGTGAATTCTTTAAATCTAGATCTAGATCAGATGTACATTATTATTATGTATATATATTATATAGAATCTAGGCCTTTCTATGGACATCCCTCTGCATCTCATAATCATGCACTATCTATCTAAATCTAGATTCTAGCCTAGAAGCACACAGGCCTATGAATGTAGACAAACGGTCAACCTCTCGATTCGAAATTTTAATGTATAATAAAGTGCATTTCTTGGGAATTTGTGGTCAAGTGTTGATTATAACATCAATATCTAAGAGTAAAGCACCTAACAATACTTACTTCTTGCTGATCTTGATGACCTGTGAAGAATTTTAGTCGAAAATAAACACAAAGCGGGGTTGCATGACATAGTGGGGGTCCCTTAATGGCGAAATTTAAGTGTTTGCTGCACTTTATGTTAGAGACATACTTTAAGGTGAATAGGTCTCCTAAGACAATTACCTTTCAAATAAGCAAGGGACCCATGATGATCCTTGACCGGAAGTGGGTGTGGCCAGCAGTCAAAGTAGGTCACTATAACTTGTTTCAGTCTGCTCACTAGACCACCACATTATATTGTCAACAAATATCCAGACACAATAGGAGAACTCAAAATGTAAGATTTATGTCTATCAATCACGAAAAAGGATGAAAAATACATTTGGAATAGGAAAATGGCAAAAATAGGGTTTAATAATATTTCATGTAATGAGGTCACGCCGGCATACTACAGCACTCAGAGAATTTCTGACTCACTTTCAAATATGACGCTAACCTTGAGCAGTTATTTTACTCTTTTTTTTTCAAGAATTCAATGTGTCAGATTGATAAAACAAATCCATTCATTAAGTGAAATTTTTGCCATATTGTTTTATTTGATCTTTGAATAAGCGTTCTTTAAATGGGCGATTCTTCTTATTCATTTTTGTAAGACAAAAATACAAGTAACACACCATCAGAATGTCTGCTAACCACTGTCAGATGTAAAGTGAGTTCTTGTAAGCACAGAATATATGGTCAATTTTGAAACTTTCTAATAGAGATAGTAATCTCCAGCGTTTCAGCAGTCCCCCGAGCAAACACACAATGCTGTGCAGCACAAGTTAGCTTTCTTGCATTTACAGTACCCCCGACAACCACCTCTCTCTTGCTTGCATCTACACTTAATGAGTTCACAGCAAACGTCACAACCCTGTTAAAGAGGTGTCAAGAGAAGCACCCAAAACTTGTTTCCACTTTCATCTCTTTGCTAGCCCCATTTTTGACGGATCAGGTAAGTCTGGTACTTTTTCGAGAGACTTTCCCCACACATGGCCTGCCTGGTAAGTTGCCCGCAGAATGTGCTGCTCAAGAGCCTGTTCTGTGGGTGGAATGGCTTCTAAAGATGGTGAGTGCTGTGCAGAGAGCTTTGTCTTGCCTGGTGTACCTTGTAAAGAGTGTTGGTCTTCTAGAGGAGCACCACGAACCGCCGGAGCTTATCCATCCACTCTTCTTGCACAGACTCGGGCCCAGCAGAAAGAGGCCGGAAGACTTGAGTGATCAGAGGAAATACTCGCCAGATGTGCCAGGCTGATTTCTTGCCCTTCCCTGAAAAGAAGGATACAGTATCGCATCCAGTCTTGGCGTGAAAAAATGTCAGGGCTTTGGATCTATTTTCTCCGAGCTGTCGGGCTATGAGATGGGCGGGATATTTCTGGAGTTCTTACCCGTCCCAACCCACAGTTCTGTCACTTAAATGGTGAATATTTTATGTTGGCGACTGCAAGTACAACAACATCGGTGTCTGTCGTTCTGATCCTGACTTTTATCAGTTCTTTCTTCGAGCAACCAAACACATTAAGAAGATCCTGGTGTCTGCCTCTTCGTGTTGGCAGGGCTCAAGAGACTCGGCATCAAACTGAGGTGATGATGTCAACACTCTGTAATGGTATGTGCTGACAACTGTTTTGCTGGAAACATAAAGCTGTTCAACTCCCCGACTCAAAAAGGCAAAACGTTCCTCTTTTTTGTCAACACGTAGGAATCCGTGCTAGTTTCCTGGGATGGTGGCCCGCGCTGAGACCCTTTTTCAAACACCTGGCCCTCTTTTTTTTCTTGCAGCGGCCTTCAGGTTGTCTGGGAAGTACATATCCCATACCACATCAACTTTTCTCACACCCTATAACTGCCGTTGAATGTAGGGTTCGAAAACGCTTGTTGTTTACTCAAGAAATGTCTTTGAAAGCTTTGGTCCTAGCATCTGGACAATTGCAGCCCCGTCAAGTACAATGGCATCAACCATCGGGCTTTCTTCAACAGTCGGCACTTGTAGAATCTCTGCTGCTGTTTCAAGGTCAGGTTTTGATGTGAAGTCTGCCAATAAACACTCCAGATCGAACTAATCCTGCAGCCGGTCTGTCACGTCGAGCAGTTCGTCTGGAAGTGTGCAGAGATAGATCTGCACCAAATTCATCGACCTCCATTAGACCCTCAACGTTCCTGACTGTGGGAGATGATTGCTGGGACCGAAGAAGTTATTTTCTTCGTTTGAGTGCCCAGAGACATGAGACAGACCAGCAGGTCGGCTTTTCTTCCAGTTCTGCCCTCCCCAAACTTGACCAGAGATAGTGGAAAGGGTTGATTTGCATGCCGGAAGAAAGATTCCAAGTTTGTACCTCTGGCCTGGCATGTGGTGTACATTCACGCAAAGAAAAGTAATGTCACTCCTCAGAACTGACATTTATGTGACGGTCGCTGCCCTCCCAACCTTTCGAGGTCTAGAAAAAGTTGGTAATTGGTTCTTTATTGTGGTGTCTCGCACTGCCTTTGATCTCTCCGCAAATCTCTCCTTGATGAAGGAATGTTATTTGAATGTTCCGAAAAAAGCCACGTTCCGTGCAGTATGCACGACTTCATCCGGCATAATGTTCTCTGTGCCAAGCGCATTGAGGTAGCACTATCTCAGCAAAAGGGTTGCCTGATTCTTGAAAGGTAGATACTACGGCTGTAACCTCTTTCGTGAAGGTGTTCTGAACGTTTTGAATCTGGTCATGGTGAAGATCATCCTGTTGGGGACTGGCAAATAACTGCGCTTCAAACTCTTTGATGATGGAGCTTATCTCTGGCCCAGCAATCATCCAGTGTTTCAGAGCATTCAAAAATTATTTGTCGAACCAATTGCCCCTTCCTCGCCTTTGACCAAGGCATTGCTTTGCTCCTGAGCTTTGTCCGAAGCAAAGGAAGAGAAGACCCGACGGCTCTTCTGTTTAGAGCTGAAACCCGTCATGAACTCCTTTAAAACAGAAGGATGTGATGACTCGGGCGTGGACAAATCAGGAATGTGCACAGCCAGCCAGCGGACATAAGTGATGTGGTCAAGGGCAAAGAACCATGGCATGAACATTGTCAGCGACTCTATATATTTTTTTAAGTCAGCAGAACGGATTGAGTTAACAAGCTGAAGGACAAACAGCTGCAATTTCAAAACCAGCATCCACCATGCAAACTGTGGCTGATCTTTCTCCATCTTGGTACTCCAGTCTTCAAAGCTAGTAGATGTTGTTCACTGCACAAATATTTGAATGTCAATGAGATTGTTATTTACGCTGTACTTTGAGTTTGTTTATTGAATTTCTGCACTTTTTTTAGTCATAGTGCAGTATGCTGTTGTAACGCTGCCAAGAAACCCTGTCCTTCGTTTAACTTGGACAAGTCAACATGGATGGGGCAAGAACCAAGGGTAAGGAATCCTTTAAGTCTCTCTGCCCCATAGACATACCCAGCACCATCTCCCCTTGCAGAGCAAATGAAATGTTCTTTAGTATCTGTCTGGCATAAAGCACAAAGGTCTCAGTTGATTTCTTTACATCCTCTCTCATCCTCTCCTCTTGTTTCAAGTAATGCAACGTCAACGCGATTGAATCTTCGACCCTCTCTCATCCTCTCCTCTTGTTTCAAGTAATGCAACGTCAAAGCTATTGAATCTTCGAGCCATTGTGGTTAATGAAGAAAAATGTGATATGGGTGTGTATTTTTTATCGTTGATCCATGGAATAGTAGGTTGATAAAGTTCATTTTTGAGTTGTTTTCTTAATATGCATTAAGCGAAAAAATACGTTTGATTTGCACGATTAAAAACCATACGCAACGTGTATTACGATAAAGCTCAGTCACCATATCCGTTACTGTATGTAAATGATGTTATTTTTTCTCTTATCCAACACATTCATGAAACAGAAACACTTATTTCAAATAAAAGTAAAACACTCACTCACAAATAAAGTCTAAGAACGAAATATTATGGTTGTTTTGTCATCAATCGTCAGATCCTGAAATTTGATGTACACAAGGAATTAGTAGGTTGTGGTCGCTATGGAGCACCATACTTTTTCGCCTATAATTTTGCTAGGCTAGCCCGAGAGTTGACCCCAGACCTGCCACACGGCCGATGTTATTGTTGTGATTATTTTTAATTTCTATACATGTACTCTATAGCGCTTATGATTGTATTTATTTTTAATGCATTAGTCCTTTTGGCTAAATTTTAAAAAAAATATTCACTACAGTTGCGCCTTAATCGTAGTAAAACGGCAGCTCTGTGAACTATCAACACAGCGAAGGTCTACCCGAGAGGTGACCCCAGACCTGCCACACGGCCGATGTTATTGTTGTGATTATTTTTAATTTCTATACATGTAGGTGAACCGGGGCAATTCCACCCACTGGGTAATTCCACCCACTTTGGACAATTTTAAGGGACAAAACTCCGCAAGTCATTTGAGGAGAGTTTTGCCACTCATGATTATTGAGTTACATCCCCTGGACTTCCTTTTCCTATTTCATCTACTTTTGAACCTGTGGATGTTGAACAGCAGCCTTCTTAAAGAGCATCTTCAAGCATCAGCAAAGTAAGTAGACCTAACGTACTTTTTGATGCTAGACATTGTGTATTTATGGTGGATGAAAGTCTAAAGTATCTTTTAAAATCAATGAAGTGTTTATTTGTCTTCATTTTATGCACCAATAAAGCCATTATAAAAGAAAATTCTTCTGTTATGGTCATGGATCTACATAGTAGAGTTGGGGTAAATCCACCCACTTGGTGGGTGGATTTTCACAACCATACTTTCTTCGCATTGATTGTAAGTTATGATCTTCTCTTAAGTATTTTACCTCCTATTAGTTCATTCATAGCAACCTACAAGTAAAATGTTGGCCATTAAACTTCATTATTACATTGGGGCAATTCCACCCACCTGGTGGGTGGATTTACCCCCAGATAATGTTGAGCACAAATTTATAACAATTTTGAATATTTTTTTAATGGTACAATGGGTTTCCATCAACCTCATCAACACCTGCACCGTTGAGGCCAGTGACCCCAGTGGAACCAGCAACCAGACCCAGCATAAAGGACTTTTTACTTTTTTGTTTTAAAAATGTCCCCTTTGTTACAAGCCAAGAGGGAAAAAACCAACTGGAAAACTGTTAAACGCCAGTATGGCGAAAGTTTGACCAGTTTTGAGTACATTCATTCAAAGAATAACAGAGGAGGAGGAGGAGAAGAAGAAAAGGAAAAAAGGAAAAGGAAAAGGAAAAGGAAGGCCTTCTGTTCCCACCAGAACCAAGGCAAAGAAAACAACAGTTGTGGACTCCGTCTCAAATTGATGACGATAGTCGCGAGAAATTCGGAGAAGGACTGTGCTGCCTCAAAGATGCCAGAAAGACAGTGGTGATGATGACAGTGATAGTAGTGACTACTGACAAACCCGCAGGAAACCAGAGAAATGTTTTTGAAAGTTATGTCATTCATTGAAGTATGTTGGACATGTTTGATCAGAATTTTGTAGGTGGGTGGAATTTCCCCGATTAAAGTGTTTACAATTTGTTTGGGTTAAAACTCTATTTCTTGAATAGGATTAGTCAGAATTGTCTAATGTTATGTTTATGTTGAATGTTATGTTCAGAGTATAATTTGTTGCAAATTCTAGTCAGATATCACAATTAGGTAGTGCATGAGAGTGATTTAAGCAAAGTTGTCTACTCTATAGCGCTTATGATTGTATTTATTTTTAATGCATTAGTCCTTTTGGCTAAATTTAAAAAAAAATATTCACTACAGTTGCGCCTTAATAGTAAAACGGCAGCTCTGTGAACTATCAACACAGCGAAGGTCTACCGGAAACGTGTGTGTGGTAGGCCTGGGCAGGACTTGGACTTGGACTTGAGACTTGAAATTCTCGTGTCCATCAAGTAGTGTTTGAGATCAAGTATTTAGAACTGAGCAAGTCCAAGTCTTGCGTGGCCTAGCAAAATAGATCTATCCCTCAATCAAAAGATACAATTATTTTAACGCACAGTAGATCTACAAATATCTACAAATATTGAGTAAAGACTCAGTGAACCAATGTCTAAAGAAATGTTAAAAATTGGCATGTTTTTTAAATTAACTTAGTGCATTTAGTTTGACTGTTTGAATTTAAATACACCTACCACCCCTACTACTTGCTCAGACTTGCTCGTCCTAGGCGGATTGGTTGAGTCCATTTCTTCGATAAGGGGTAGGCAGTAGGCAGTACCACCCCTATTACTTGCTAGGATTTGCACGCCCTTGGCGTATTGGTTGAGTCCACTTCCTCAATAAGGCGTAGGCAGGCCTAGGCCCGGATAAGGCTTCAATGCCATCATTGCCATCCAAGGCTGAAGCAATTCCTGAGTTTATTAATACAACAGAGAACAGAACAAAAAACAAACGAACGAAGGAAAAAAAAAATCCAAAAAAATCAACCAAACAAGTATCACAAAGATGTTCCATACGGCTCAACATAGGTGGTTGGTTGGAGAACAACAAAATAATGATAACGATAAAGGGAAGTAATGCTGATGGCTTTACTACTATCAAAGAGACTATTCATGCTACATGTATACTTTATTACGTCCCCTGAATTTGAAATTGGGCTTGAGACTTGCGGTTCTCAAGGTGTTAGGACTTGAGACTTGAAAGTCCTATTTTTTTTCAATTCCGCCCAAGCCTAGTGTGTGGAGTTTTCAAGCTTGAGTTTTCAGCGGGGAAAAGTGTTGTCAGCTACATCCGGCTGGGTTTTTTTGTATGGTGCACGGTTTTGGTCAAAAAACTAAATGAGTGATTTTCAATTAGCTCTCACGCCTAATTAAATACCGCCAGTAGATGGATCCTCCTCTTAAACAACTCTTTTATACCCATACAATTTAATATGCATAACCAAATGTCTCTAACACGCAGCGCAGTTAAAACGGATTAACGAAAAGGACTATTAGACATGTTTTACAACACTGTTGAATAGCACGTCTGACGCGCCGTGCAGCCCAGTTGACAACAGACAGACCACACAGCGACGGTGCTCAAGCACATGGTAACATACACGTTTATTTGCAGGGTGCTAGCTAGACGAGCTACAGGTCAAACCTAAAGAGCCTCTCTGGGACCGATCTAACGCCACGCGGTGTTCGCGGAAGGTTGTTCGTCGAGACAGGAGTTGATGAAAACAAAGTTGCAAGCCACCATAGAAAACTACAACAGAGAGGAATGAAAGAGAATATTACGTAGTGCAGCAACTTATCCGTGAACCCCTGTCGTCTTTTTGGGGTGACTTCAAATCGGCAAAGTACTTTTTGAATGTTGACAATAAATATTAGTTAAGACTTACTTGAAACTCAAGGAACTTTAATAGCAGTAATAAATCTCCTGTCCACTGTCTAGCCGATAAAAAGTGAACGGCTCCACCGGTCTTGCCCAGCTCTTCAAACCGCCTCGAAACTTCAAATAGTACACACTGTCATTTTCAAATGTGACTTTCCACGCTAAATGGGAAACCAATGAAAATATTATTTTATCTTTGAATTCTTTGTGAAAAAAGGAATTGTGTAAGCTGTTTTCTCCAAAATCGCTGGTACAGGAAAGAGCCGAATTTACAAGTCACACTAAGAGGTGTGGTCTACTTGCAAATAGCGTATAATTTGCTAGGCGTAAATCGTACAACTGCCTACGGGGGATTTCGTGGCCCGGAGGTTAAAGTGTTCGCCTCTCATTGAATAGGTCCTGGATAGCGACATAATTTTTTCTCTAAAAGTGTCTCCTGACACCCCCTTTCCTGCTCTCTAGTAATGTTTTGTCTTCTGCTTCCGTCTCCACGTTCTGCTCCTATCCCCTCATCTTCTTTGCCCTCTCCTCTGGGCTCCTAACTCTTTCTGCAGCCTTTCTACTGCTACTCGTTGGTTCCTTACTGCTGTCTTTGAGCCACACCCCTGATCTTCTGGTAGGAAAGATCTACACTTAGTCTTCTCGGACAAGGGCGAAAAACTCGGAGGTCCCATGTGCAAGTTGCGCACGTTACATATCCATTGGCGGTAACAAAAATCAGTAAGAGAAAGCTTCGGCCTCCATCCGGGCAAAATTCAAAATTTCTTATCACCTGAAAATGTTTAATGTTTCCTGGCCGTTCATATGACCTTATGCAGATGCGAGCGCTGTACAACACCTACCAAATCAAAACAACTCCCTACAATATAGTTTAAAGAGCCAAGGGGAGAGATGACCAAGTAACGCCGCCATGTGGTGATAAGAGACAATATGAGGGGTCTGACGACATTTTACAAACAAGAAGAGAAAAGTAAATGTTCCTGCTGTTAACATAATAAATAATTATCTCGGTTAATTGATTCTTAGTGTCTGAGATTATTGCCTTGCTTTCTTTAACACTTTCCAGATTATCCATGAGCAGCGTTTGCCCCTTTTCAAAGTACTTGTGTTCAACAGTTTTGTTCTGTCTGGTACTATTAATGTCGCTGATTACATTTGTCAAGATAGTGCTGTGGTCTTAAAAGTAGAACTATCACTGTATATATGTGAAACGTGCTGACAAAATGAGTAGCTTCTCCTATTCTATCCAGATGGAAATAGATATTTCGCTTATAGGTGAAGTTTTTAATATCTATAAGTATGAAATCATAAAGGGCATGTTATACTTTAAAAATATGACATCAATAAGACATCTACAAATTTGACCTTATTGTCGAAACCACAACGGGCTTTTCTCTACTCTCCGAACGGCCTTTTGTTCTTTCTTGCTGTATAACCCTTGCACGTAGCATTGTCATTACAAAAGCAGGCGAAACGACCGAACCGTACTTTTTACCTCGGCTTTTGTAGCCGAACTCAGATGGATATCTTCCACCCTTTTTTCATTCATTTAGACCGTGTTTTGAAGACACCACGTGGCTTTTTCTATATTATGTCAATTAAGGGGCAATAGCTCTAGTTGCCGGTGGCAAGCAAGATAGACGATTTTTGATTTCCACAGAGAATATGACATACTGTCGATGGTGTAAACTTCAGTCTTCTACCACGGATGGTCATTTAGTTATTGCCAAAATAGTTGTTTTTTGGCGTTTCTTTTGTTCACTAGACAATGTTTTGAGTGCTGATTTATGTTTTTCTTTTAGTTTTAGTAAGTGATTTACGGCACTTGCAACACAATAAGGTCATATAACTGCCGACGATTAGAAGTGTTACAAGAAAGCAACAAACTCAAAAAAGAAGGAGTAGAGATAAAGATGATAGATATAGGATAGGAAAGAAGAACCAAGCCTCACCAGAGCATCCGACAACCTCCTACACTGATTTATCTTCCAGAGATGTGAAAAGCAAACAGAACAGTTTATCACAAGCTATAAAACTCCTAAATAAAATGTCTACAAAGAATTTCACAAACAAAATGGAATGAATTTATCGCAAATAATGACAAGCTGGAAAGAGCCGGGATTGAGGATATTAATCCCAGGTGAGGCAATCTATTGTACTGTCTTGGTCTCTCAATTACATTTCTCGATTTTTCCCGAACTCCTCCTCCTCTCTCTATATCTCTCTGTCCACATCTTTACCATTTTCTCTCCATTCTCGCCCTTTCCTATTTCCCCCACCTTTTTCTCGTTACAGTACAATACATACGTTCACGTGCACACACCCGATGCCCCCGTGATCAGATCTTGTAAGCGACAATTTTGGACTTTTTCACACAATCACATATAAGGCTTACGGTGCACATGCCAACAGAAGATTTGCGTGAAAAACTGCACAAAAGTGTCTTTTATTGTAAGTAAACAAAACTCGTAAGTCCACCCCTCCCCAAACATGGTTGTGATCAGAACTGGTAAGCGCCATCCTGCCGCTTACAAGCTTTGATTTAATTTAATCGCGGTTATTCAAAACGGGTCATCGACGCTCAGGAGTGATCAAAGCAACCCTTGTCTACCTTTTGTTCCTGTTTCCCCATGTTTTCCAGTTCCGGCACGTTTTTGCGGATTAGGCACAATCGATGTCAAACCTGCTTTGCTTCTGACATCTACTTCACTACATCCATCTCTGCTCCTTATAGTCAATCCTGAACCGTCTTCTCTGTCTGGTTCACCACGTTGTTCAATGTGATTGCCCTATATATCACAAGCCGCTGATTCGGCACCACACATGTTCAGTCAACTCGATCATGTCTCCACTCAATGGAAGAAAGTTCTGCAACACGGAAGCAGAACTTCTAACGAATGGATTTATGTAAGCAAGGTCAGGCACACGTCTGAAATGATAAACACAAACCCGTATGAGAAATGAAAAGGTCATGTGAATGCAAGAGAGCAGGATTGAAGTGCAAAGAACTTTCCGAATGTGACAGACAGAAAGTTCTCAATTGTATCTTGCCCCTTTCCTGAGAAAGAAAAGCAGAGTACATTAAACGCCCAAACGGAAGAGAGTCCTAAGCATCTCTAGACATGAATGGAAGTTGAATATCTCTTGGAAAAAGAAAGCCAGAAATTCAGTGTTTACAAAGGCCTGTTCCTCAGGACACCAACTCTTGGTGATTGATGTATTATTAGGAACATTGTTGTGGATGGGGACACTTCTAGCAACCCCCGGGGCAGTGCCACTGACAGAAAGTGTCTTTAGGCCATTCCCAAAGGGGGGACATTTCTCGTCCTAGTGCACAGTAGAATTGTAAATGGGCTGACTCATGTCACGCTCATAACTATGCCTGATCTACAACAGGGAACTGCTGCTTTGTCTTTCATGTTCCTTACTATTGTCATTTCCACTACTTCTTTTGTATGTTTGTCACTCTCTTGTGACTTGCTAATTTGGGGTGCCTTGATAGTCGAAGCAGACATTGTGCTGTTGAAGCTAAAGAGGAGAGTCTGATTCCCTGTAAAGACTTCTCTGTTGACACCCACCCTTTGGCGCTCATAGGACCTTATTGTGAGGCAGCGTAGTCGAATCAGGCTCTCGTCCAAATCTTTAACATTTTCTCTTCATTCTCGCCCTTTCCTATTTCCCCCACCTTTTTCTCGTTACAGTACAATACATACGTTCACGTGCACACACATACACACACACACACACACACACACACACACACACACACACACACACACACACACACACGCACACAAGCACATACCGATGCCCACGTGATCAGATCTTGTAAGCGGAATCACATCGCATACATATATGCGATGGACTTGAGAACCGTTGAGATCGCACCGCATACATTTATGCGATGAAGTTTGTTTACATTTTATAGGTCTTATAATTTCGTTATTATTCCCATTTGACCACAACTGACTAAATTTTATGCTTTTAGCCAGCGTGTTTGTACATAGCCTAAGCAACAGAAAAATCATCGAAATTACGTCAAGAGTCAAAATGGCAGCGCCCAGGAGGCGAATGTTTACAGACAATGAAGCTCTTGAACTTGTCTTGCTTGACGGTTCAGACAACGAAGATGAAGTGGTTTTTCCATTTTAAGATGGTACGAGTGATTTAGAAGATGGAGAGAGCAGTGGAGATGAGTATACAAGCCTACCATTGATGGGAAGCAGGGATGTGAGTGACACCTCTGACATAAACACACCTTCAACATCACAAGGAGTAACAAGGGACACTTGATCTAGACCTATTCCAACACAGACCAGAAAGAGATGTCGACCTCCTCCTACCTCTAGATCTAGTAGTGACACTGAAAGTGACTCTGAAGAGGACATCGAGTTGCCCAGGATGCCTCGTCGAAGACTAGGCCTAATCAATCCCATCGGATCCGCCAACCCGCCGCCAGAACCTGGTAAGTCGTTGAGGGCTAGTGTTATTCTTTGATAGCATTGAATAGAATAGATCTAGACCTAGACTAGATCTAAATCTAGTTTTTCTTGTGGTGTATTAATTTAGGTATATCAGCTATTCTGGTTTATATAATTATAAGGTAGGTAGATACTAAGATAGCCTAGATGCAGTAGTCAAGTAGAATACTAGTGGGCTAGATGAACGTTATACTAAACACTCTTTGAGGGCTAAATATAGGCCGTAGTAATGACACACGATTATGTACCGTACCTAGCCAATGCATAATTTCTAAAAAGAATTAAAAAAGTGACCTATAATGAATCTATCTAGATCTAGTTTTGTTTTTGTTTTTCTTCTTTCTTTTGTGTGTTTTTAGGTCCTCAAGGAGATGACAACAGAGATGACGGAAACACATGGGTGCGTGATTTCAACAACTACCCACTCCTCATACCATTTGTGGGCACCCCAGGTATGAAATGGGATTTGCCTGAAGACATCTACTGTCGCTTTATTACTGCGGACATTATCAAACTGATGAAGAGGGAGACCAATAGGTATGCTGCAGATGCTATCAGGTTGAAACAACGAGAAGCTGAACGGCGCGGCACTGCCTTATCAGACAGAAGTTTTTTTACTACCTGGACAACCGTAACTGAGGAGGGAATACGTAAATTTTTGGCCATTCTTCTACACATGTCCCTGGTAAAAAAGCCCAAGATTGTGAACTATTGGTCCAAGGACATTACAATTGCCACTGCCTTTGCGCCACTTCTGATGCCAAGAGAACGAAAATGCCACCCAGATTTCACGAGGAGAGGACGGCCACGATCCCCTGCACAAAATTCGTCCTCTTGTTGATCATCTACTACAGGTATGTTTTTCTACATTATCAGCACTGCCACCATCATCATCGTCAATACCACCACCACCATCATCGTCATCATCCGTCTCCTCATCATCGTCGTCGTCATCATCATCATCGTCATCATCATCATAATCATCATCATCACATCATCAGCAGCAGCAGCAGCATCAACTTTTATTCAATCACTCATAAAACAATGATTTGTGATAAGAATGACTAAACTTTTGCTTGTGTCTTCATATTTGCCTTTTCCCCTTTGAATTTTCAAAATGTAGCCTATTTCTATTCCATTGACTTTACTGGAAATAATGTGCTGGTAATTGTGTCTAATATTTTTTGTGTGTTGTCCGTGTCTTTTTTCTCTCTCTCTTCCAGTCTTTTCAGGAGGCGTACCAGCCAAATGAGAACATTTGTATCGATGAAGGTTTGTGCACGTGGCGTGGAAGATTGACGTGGCGTGTGTATATGAAAGACAAGCCAACTAAATGGGGCATGAAGTTGTATTTGCTTTGTGACTCTAAAACTGGTTATGTTCACAACTTTGAAATTTACTGCCAAGCCCCTGGTGTCAGCAACGCCCCTGTAGATGTTTGCAACCGGCTACTCCGTCCACTCGCCAACTTGGGACATACACTCTATGTGGACATTATTATTGCAGCCCCAAACTAGTTGATCAACTCGTTGCTGAAAACACGAATGTTGTTGGCACAGTCCGTGCCAATCGTGTCGGGGTGCCACCAGAACTAGCACAGACAGCACTTCAGGTTGGAGAGGTAAGCGCGTGGCGTCGAAACTGTCGCCTTGAAATGGAAGGACAAGCGTGACGTTTACATCCACACGACGAAGCACACCGACGAAATGGTACCTGTCCGGACACGCACAGCAGACACCATAAAGCCAGCAGCTGTTCGCGACTACACCCAAAACATGGGAGGAGTAGATCACAGCGTTCAGATGATCTCGTACCATCCTCTTCACAGGAAGACTGTAAAGTATTGGGAGAAACTAGCATTTCACCTAATGACACTCGTAATGGTGCAATCGCACATTTTGTACAACGAGCATCGACGATCACACAGGAAGAAGACCATGCAGCTGCAGAAATTTGTCATGTCTGTTTGCCGATCTCTGGCGTCCATTCCTGAGGACCAGCAAGCTCCACCACAGCCACACGATCTCAATCGATTGGTGGAGCGCCATTTTCCTTCACCAATCGTAGTCGATGACAAGAAAATGCAGCGGGCATGTGTGGTCTGCTACGCTCGGGCCATCTCTGGAGGTGACAACCACAAAACCCAGAAAAGCAAGAGGAAAGTGACACAATTTGAATGCAGCAAGTGCAACAAGGCACTCTGTGTCCATCCGTGTTTTGAAATCTTTCATACCAAAGAACACTATGCCTGAATATTGTTTTTTTCAGCCATCATCTTTTCATCATCATCATCATCATCATCATCATCATCATCATCATCATCATCCCCCCACCTATCATTTCATGTCATTCTCATCAGAATTGTCATATATTATATCTTTCATTTTTTTTATTTTTTTTTACAATAAATATGTTGATTTGCCTTCTATTTATGTTTTATGCCAATTTATATGACCAAATATGATGATGTTTTAGTGTGAAAACAAAAGTTTTGCCCCCAATTTTTCTAGATTTTCAATCCACTCAGAGAGAACTTTATTTTTTTTCCTCATTCACTATTCTTTGTGCCTTCAACCTCCTACTTTCAGAATCTGCAAACAGATTTGTTTTATCTTGTACGGTTTTTGAGCTATGTGCATTTGAACATACCCCAAAATCATGCGATTTCATAAGCGCGCAAGGCCAAGTATAGCGCGACTCCAATGAGTTAAGGCTTGTTCACTTGTCTTTATTTGGTTGAAAAAAATATCCATTTATCTTGAATCCAAGTCGAGATATTTGTGAAGGAAGAAGGTGGGAGTCACCTGTTTTTAGAGGTAAAATTAGTGAGAAATTGGCCGCCAAAGATTATTTATTTCCTTAGCTTAAGAGTCCGTGGTAACCCAAAAATCAAATTTTTTGTGCCTTTAATCAACGTTTTTCAGAAAAATCCACACAGAAATGAGCTCTTTAATGAACATGAAAGGTGTTGAGCCTAAAAACAAAATTTTCATACAAATTCACAAACCTGCGGAAAAGCGCAAGTTTCTTCACTTTGATTATTTTGACGAGAGCCTGATTCCACCACGCTGCCTCACTTATGCAGTTGCGAGCGCCGTAAAACCCTCTACTATAAAAAAAAAAAAAGAACTTCATAGAAGTGCGTTGCTCAACAAAAGCAATTGACCATCTCGGCCCCATATTTAGTTTTCTCCAGACAATAAACAACTAAGACACTTTTTCCTTCTCTCAAACTTTATTATGTCAAACTATGACTGTCAGCTAAAAAGTGCTTTGAACAGAAAATGAAACACGTGCATTGGCTTCCATTTCAACATCTAAAATAAATTGGCAAAAACGGTCTTCCTTTCGCTAAAGAACTCACCCCTAACACTTGGTTTTAAATACAGGTACATGAAAGAAACATGCCGACTAGATCTATGTCTTTGTACATATTATGTTAGAAACATTCGTCTATTCACTTTGGGTATCGAAATGTCCGTGTCACATGAATCGGACCTAAGTATAATGCTGACCTAGTACAATAGGGGGTACACGGGGTGAAATTTGTGGAAGTCGAAAGTCCAATAGTGAGTTTATTTGACATTTATATACATATCAATAAAAAGTAATAAAAGGTTTCTACATTGAGTTATTTCGTAACAAAAGATACTAGATGTACTTTTCAAATAATTATACTTTAAAGTCGAATGGCTGCACGTTTTGAATTCGACAAAATTTAATCGTCTGTTTTCAATGTGTTTACACACAAAAGCCAATTTATCTACCATTCTCATCTCGTATTCGTACCAACATGATTCACTTTTCAAGACATTATAATCACATTTACAATTCATGGAAAATATTCAATTTCACAAATCACAAGATTACATTCACAGCCTTTTTTCTTCCATTAACAACTTTATGAAAACTTATCAGTTACATATCAATAGATTTTTTCATTCCAGAAGTTTGATTCTTTCGCTTTGTTCAAATATTTAAATATTTCAAGTCAGTTGTATGAGCGTAGAAATATTTAGTTTTTTCTTTAACTCACACATAGTTTTTGTTTTTAATACCGCCGAGTGTCCTAATATGGTCGACTAGAGTTGCTTGTTTTCCTAATTCATCACTGAATACAATGTCAGAACAGTAAAACTATACAAAAATAATATGCCTACTGGAAGTACCCGACCAAAAGGCAATTTTGAAAAAGGCCACCTTGCTTCCTAAACATGCGAAAATTACTCAACAGAAGACTCGCACTGTCCGAATAACACAAACACGTTCTATACAACAAGGCACAACAAAATAAATCAACTCTGTGAAATACACAAGTAGATTAAAGTGTGTTTGAAAAAAACAACTAATAATTTGTATAATTGCACATGCAGACAGCGTTACGTATTTGCATAAAATTTTTGAAGTTAAGTTTGAGATCAAAGGTTTGCCCCAAGTACAGCCACACGCCTTGGGGCCAATCATTGTTTTGTTTTTTTACCGATCAAAATGCAAGCCGATGAACTTCGAAAAGGATATTTTTAAAAGAATCTTTAGGTATTAAGAATGATCATGTTAAAAGATTATCATGATTTCGATTGCTATGAACGATGAGAATTTTGATTTAAAAAATAGTGCAATTAAAACTGACTGTGGAAAGAGAGAAGAATAAGAGAGAGAAAGGTGGCCGTTTGAAAGAGACACCTGGCGTTAGAAGTCAGTTATTTCAAGTCCCTGGCTTGAAAAAGTGACATTTCCGACAGGGGCGACTCGTGGGGCTATAAAGTGGGCTTGCACAATTAAGCATGCTGAAGATGGTCAAGGGAATAGTAAATGGGTTGGTGGGGGAGGACCTCGTGCTTTTTGTTTCATTCTTTTTACTTGTCGATTTGATTTCTGGAACTAAATTTGTCTGTTAGCCAAACATCAATTTCGTTCATCCTGCATTGGCTGCATTTGAACTGAACACTCAAGTAATAACTTTCACCACTACACTACAAAACCATCCAAATACACAACTCACAGAACGTTGACTTAAGTATGTCTCGTTCACCCTCCTCAGGTTCACAGTCACGGAGTAACCAAAAATAGTGGCAAGACAATGAACCAATCATAATTCACTCGAGCATTCTGCTGGATTGCTCCGGGCCTCACATCATTTTGGCATAGGCTAGAACAGTGTACAGACTATCGCGTATATTTCAAGACTGCCTACTGTGGGCTATATTTTGGCACTGTTCAGTAAGAGCACATTTGAGATGTGCCATCTATTTAATCTTAATGTACCGCCAAACTCGCAGCGAGTGTCGTCATCCTTTGGGTTATCCTAAATAGCG